TTAGTTTTGAAGGTATAGTCCATATGAACAAAAGTAACTCAGAGAAAAGAATTCAGGTGGTTAAACAGACAATTGTCAAAGTGTTTAGCTTTGAAGAAGACTGGCTGTTTATATTGATGACTGGCCAATTCTCCATATTACTCTGACTGTGTTGTGAAAACAAAATATTGATTCTATGTTTATATTTCTCTTTGACCAATTCTCTTGTTTACAAAGACTCCCATAAGCAGCTCTTCCCTGAAATGAAAGGTAATTCTCTCCTCACTGAGGTTATGGAGAACCTCTTCTATTCTTCAATAAACCTTCAATACTGTGTAGGCCAGGTGTGACCTGGACACTTATGTGTAAGAGAAAGGAAAGTCTGGGATATGATTTGAAAAGTTGAATGAGAAAGGCATAGAAATAAAACAGACTGGATACCTGAATAGGTAATGGCCAGGAGGGAATGTCTACAAAAGGGTTTGCTTTGGGCTTCATAGGAAAGTTATATTTGGTAAATTTTTGAAATTCCCTCTTGTTATCTCCAAATCTAGGAAGAGATCTGTTTATCATTACAGACTGTTCACCTGTACTGAGGGGAATTGGGGGACTGACCAAATCTTTACACTGTGCACTCTCTCTACCTGTGAAACGGCTCTAGAAACGCAAGTGTCTTGTCACTTGTCCTGCTATTTGTTCTCCAGCTTTCTCTCAACCTTTCTCTACATGGGTTTTATAGAAAAGGTTTAAAGTCAACCAGAATCACCGTGCAGTTTATATATAAATGTTAAAACTGTGTCAGTGTCTTAAATTAATGATAAAATTGTTTATACCCTGGAGTTCACACTAACACTGATAAATGTAAAAGGAAGTAATATTTATTGAATGTCTACAGTGTAGTGTTAATCATGTCATTTCATCTTCACAACTGTGGGTAAGAAAGATTAAAAAATACAACCATTAGGGTGTCAAGTAAAACCCAGTGGGTTTTATGTGGTCATTTCATTTTTGCCTGCTCAGAATACTGTTCTGTCCCACTGTTTCATTGGCAGGGCACCCCAAATTCTTTTGGGGATCTCCCCACCAATCCCTTGTGCATTGGATGCATCGTCCATCTTATCATCCCACTTGTGTAACTTCATCCGTCCCCTGCCTTCCCAGGCCCTGCCTTGATAAACCTAGGCATTTCACTCAGGTCTGACTCACCAGAGACCTCTCTGAGTCTTTATTTCCTTGAGTTAACAAAGCAGATTGGCTAAACCGCCGTAGTAGGAGAGAAGGAGAAATACATTTAAAAACAACAACCAAAAAAACACAGAAAAGTGGGTATGAGATGTCAGGAAGAAAGAGAGAAGGAAGGCTCTGGTTGACTTGAGTCATTAGCAGGACCACCTACATGGGTACGCATAGTCATACAGGATTCTGAGCTTGGAAAGGCCTTGCACATAAGGTTTAATGCTCTCTTGTTGCAAGCTTGTAATTCTTAATTTTGAAACAAGGCTTTTTTACTTTCCAAATTATGTAGCTAGTCCTGATCTTCAGGCTCAACTTCTGTGATCTAATTCCTTCTGTTATGTGAAAGTCCCTAGTATTTTTCTCTGCTTCGTAGGAAAATAAAGTGTCCTTCTATGCTGAAGCTAGTTTGAGTTGAAAATTTGTGACTTGCAATGGAAACAAGTCTGGCACATATATCTCCAAACCCACTCTTTCTATTAGTCCTCAAGGTTGTGATAGCTTCAACCCTGGATCATCTCTGAAGGATAAATTATTCACTTACTCTTTGTGACATAGTTTTAACACTGAATGTTGTTCTCCTGTCATCTGTCATGTTTTCAGCTAACTCCACAACATCAATTAAATTGTCCCTGGAATGAAAAATGTTATCAGTTTCTAATATATATTTTAGCATGTAATATAAATATTTAAAAATGTCTTTAAAATATAGTACTCAATGTATAAATCATAATTAATGTTTTTAAAGTGATGTCCAGTTTATAAAATGCTTTTGCATACAATATATTACTATAAGGTTTTCTGTTTTGAATAGAACTACTGGGCCACTAAGAGCTAAACCATTCATTGGGTAAGGGATACATTTTCATGTTTGAAAAGTTTGAAACCCAATGAAAGGGGTATCCTGCTGCCCTATAAAAGCATGGTTTATCTACATCTGAAGTTCAGTTTGTGGTGCTGCTCGTCATGTTAGTAGAGACACACCAGATTCGCGAGAAATACCCCTACATGATCACCAAAATGGGGATGCGGTGCTGTTGTATGGAAACAGGACTCAAAGGCAGGAAGGCTTTCAACTGAGTGAAGGCGAAGGGAGGACATAACCAAAATGCATGAAGTCATATGTAATAATTAGATGTTTAAAAAAAAAGAACAGGTACTTTGCATTCTGGAATATTGCAATGAGAGCCTGTCTTCTGAAACCTCAGTCTAGAAAGTTAGGCTGAACTACAAAACTGCTTAATTAAGCATTTGGGCTCATGTTTACTAAAAGTGAACAGACTATGCCTGACTATTAAGGTTTAACATAAATTTGATGGAAGGCTAACACATTTCCTTAGTCTTGTGGTTTTATCTGTCAAAAATATTCTGGGCTAGAGTCCCCAGGGTGTTCATTTACCCTGAGAAAATTAACGGGACGTTGTTGTACTGAAATTGTCCTTCTGGCATCCTCCACGGCTCTCCTCCTTTCTTCCTTTCCAGAGTAATTTGTTCTTGCTCTGGACCACTATTCAGAAAATGGAGAAGGTGCCTCTTCTCCTTGTCAGAGAGTGAATGAAGAGAGGACGCTTTATTTTGTCTGAAACAGTCCACTCCCTCCTGTGAGTAAGAAGTAAACATTAGGTTTAGGGATTCCTAGCACAGAGAGAGGTGAGAAATAGAGTTATAGAAATGGCAAGACCTTAAAATGAATTCAGAATTTAGTAACCATCTGAAGGACAACAACAGATGGCAAGTTTAGAGGTGTACAGATACAAATGGGGGAGGTCAGATGAATTTCGATAGCAATTGCAGAACTGCGTGATAGTTTTGAGGAATAAGGAAGAGAGGGGAAACCATATGGTAACATGATAATTAGGCTCCAGCGTTTGCCTTTAAGAAAATAGAAATCTTGGTAACTTATTTTCGAAGACACAACCTAAGGTAAAGGAAAAGATTTATTGGAAAAGAAAAGAAAGAGAGATGGCAATATAGGTCTAAATTGCAGAATTTTGAAGAGATTTTGCAGTGAAATTAAAACTAGGAAAATGAAGAAAAGATATATATTGTAATTTAAACAATACAGAACTATGAATCAGGATTCCTATTTATAGGAATAGTAGAATGGTACTGAGAAATTAAACAGTGCTCCCAAAGAAATTGTTTATAAAAACTAAACATTTGACACTGAACAAAGACTGATGAAATTCTCTACTTAATAAAATGCAGACCTCTTCTTCTTGTTCAGGAAGAACAGTAAACATCTTCAAGTGCAGAGAAAAGCCTCTGCTGAGCCTGGGTGACTGGCTGAGTGCATTAAAAGCCTGTTAAATTCAGGAATCACTCCATTCCCTACACTGGGTCAAGTTTGTTTCTTTTAAGGTCAGCATTAGGCAGACTTTGACGAAATTAAGCAACTGGTCAAAACATTTTTCCACTGCCAATTATCTAATAAGGCAATCTTGCCGCATTGGTTTGTGGCAGTTTCTGCTGTACAGCTTTCCCCCTTATTCTTTTGGAGGGCCAGGAAGGTGGAGCAGCTGGATTTTAAACCCGGGGAGTAAGTAGACTATAATAACCTATTCAGAGAGATTTCTGTGGCAGCTGCCTGCAGAGTGTGTGGAGGGGGAAGAGTGTGGTCTGAGAAAGCAGCTGGAGGCCGGTTCAGCCCTGAGAGTGAACAGGGGCCAGGGGCTGGTCGGAGGCAGGGGCTATGGTGCTGAGAGAATGGATTTGAGAGGTATGAAGTATAGTGACAACGAGGAAGTGGCAGGAATTAGAGGCTGGATGGGAAGTGGAGCAGGTTTCTGTGAGGTAACTGGGCAGGGCTTTGCTATTCATGAAGGTGAGCTTCCTAGGTGAGAGGCAGGTGTGAAGGGGCAACTGCTGAGCTCACTTTCACATGTGTTGAATTTGGGGTGGCTGTGGGGCAGCCTCATGTTTTTTTAATTTCTCCTTCTGACTGCCAAACTTCTAATGATGTTATTCTCTTCATGAATTAATATACTCTTGAAGTCAAAGTTATCAATCTTTTCACCCAGAAAAACCTCCAGCAACTTCCCAACATGTGCTAATTAAATTCGTTTTATTCTTAGGAGAATGACTTAATTTTACTCCTCTGTTTCCAGATCTCAGCATGGCCTCACTTCTTGCCCCAAACCACCTGGAGTTGGGTGCGATCTGTCAGAGAGAAGGAAGAGTCAGAGGGGACTTCTGGGCTCTGTCTGGAGCACTGAGGAGTAGCAATGGGACTGGCAGGTGTTGGCAGTTGAGGCGGAGATTGCGAGGGGTTCAGTTCTGTTAATATTTAAACTGGGAACATTCAAGTAGAATTGTGATTTCATAGAATGTCAGATTGGATGGGACTTTCAAGGAGAAGAAAAATGAACATTTATTGAGCATATAATAATACTCTAGGCACTTTGCTAGAATACTTTCTGATATATTGCCTCAATTAATCTTGATAATATGCTTATAAATTATATCTCCTGTGTTGTAAATGAAAAGAGAGATTCTCAGATGATAAGGAGCTCAAAGTACTCAGTTATTTAGTGGGTTATTTAGAGCATCTGAGTGTGGGTGGGGAGCCTCTATCATCCTTAGTACCCCATTCCAAAAGCATGAAAAGTGGTTCTTATGGGGCAAACAATGGTCACTTTTTATGTAAAGAAATGATATACATATTGCACTTAACCAAATATACAGTATGTTTAAAGTAGAATGTCACTGGGGACAAGTGGGAAAATGTCAACAAAGACCCTTCAAGGGCTGATAATAAAAGGTAAAGAAACACTGATTCGGATCTCATTTCATTTAATGAAGTTTTTACTTGTTTTTTGCAGAATTCATTTTTGCTTCACATGTCGACACAAACACATACAATAAGTAGAAACAGTGTCAGTTTAAGTGTTGCTAGGGAGAGGGTCCAGGATCACCCCATTTCTGATGCCTTCTCCCTCACTTCCTACAGAGGCTTTAGGGTACTGATAGGAAAGCTTTGAGGAACACAATTTAACCTCTTCATTTTGCAGACGAGTAAACAGAGGCCAGCTTGTAAGGTGTAAGCATTCTCTCCTCCAGTCACTTTATCATTGGTAACTCACACACAAAGTGGAACTGAATCAGGCTTCATACCCCGAGGCATTCCACGGGGTAAGGCATTCTTCACACCGGGCGGCATAGAAGAGAAAGCTGACCTGAGCGGAGGTCAGGCACAGAATGGGTAGAGAGAAATGAGTGAGAGGAGATGTTAAAAAAGGATACTCATTACAAGAAAAAAAATTTTTGTGTGGTGATGGATGTTAAGTAGACTTATTGTGGTGATCATGTCGCAATATATACAAATATCAAATCATTATGCTGTACACCTGAAACTAATATAATGTTACATGTCAATTATGCATCAATAAAAATAAATTTTAAAAAGGATACTGTAATCAATAGCAGCAAGTGGAGAGTTTATTAAAGATTGAGAGTAAAGATCTGATAGTATAAAATTCTCTGGTGACTTATAAGTAGTTTTGAGCGAGTGTATAGACAGAGCTTGATTTCACCAGAAATTGTAAATATTTCAGTCATCATCAACAAAATGGTAAGAATGCTTACTTTGGTAAAAATATTGTAACTAATTTTACATTACCTTTTCATAACCAATTGGAGACATCAATATGTTAAATCACACCAAATTGACAAAACAGGTTTTAGTTTATTGTATTAAGTAAGATGGGTTCAACTAAAGAATTGGAACACAAAATGAGTAACACACACAAATGAATGCCTTCAGGAGAGATCTCACTAAGAGAGGTTTTACGTTTGAGTTCATAAAATGTCCCAAAATGGCAATTTACCTGAGGACAAAAAGTGCAAACATATATGGTGCTAAAAAAGAGACATAGATGAAAAAAAGAAAATTTGAAAATCTCTATTAGGCACCATAGAATTCTAGCTCATTTACATGTATTTTTAGCCTTAAGTGACATAGTTACTATTTGCTATTATCAGGAAAATCATTATCCAAGTGACTCAACAAATTATATTGAGGCATTAGTAATTGTGCGTTAATATGAAGGAATTAAACTGTAATCTTACAATAGTCTTAATAATTACTTAATTTATTTTTGCTATTTATTTCAAATATTGGGAGTATGATCTTGTAGTGACATATCACACTTGTAACTGAACCTTAGTTAACTGTCTCACACTAATAGAAATATTCCTTCATTCTTTTAAATGGTTTTATCATCTACAAATGTGGGGAGATTAATTTTCTAATCAAAACATCCTGAGAAACTATTAAGCATGACATTAAACTGTGTTATACTAATTATATTCCCTATGAAGAATTTCTATGTGAACTTAAAGCATAAGACCCTGGAGAAAAAACTTAAGAGCACAAATTGCTTAAATGCATTTTAAGAAGAATCATATATCCATATAATCATTTTGTTTTTCATTTTGCTTTAAATCAACTCTGTTTTCCATGGTGGTTCATTACTGTGGCAAGATCTTCTTGACCTTGTTTATCACATTTTAAAAAATGGTGTTAAACATGGTGTGAGTGTCTAATATGGCAAAGGGAGATACTTAGCTCTACTGTGAACATTTGCCTAAAATAATATTTGATTCCTACTAGAATACTACTCTTATTGAAAACAAGAGATAACGTAACACAAGTAATTGTTATAGATCAAGGGGAAAAATCATTTAGCAGGGGTCAGAAAACAGTTTTGTGTAAAAGACCGGATGTCAGACATTTCATGCTTTGCAGGCCATGCGGTCTGTGGCCACCGCCCCCCTTCCCCGTCCCCGCTCCACAGCTGTAGAGCAAAAGCAGCTATTGACAATATGTAAGAATAGCATGGCTACAGTCCAGTAACATTTTATTTACAAAAAAATTTACAGCAAATCAAAGCCACAGTGGGATACCACTTCACACCCATTAACGTGGCTGGACAAAAAAAGTCAGGTAAAAGTAATTGTTAGACAGCATGTGGTGAAACTGGAACCCTCCTGCCTCCTGGAGGGAATGTGAAACGGTGCAGCCACAACACAGTTACCATATCACCCAGCAATTCCTGCCATGGAATATATCCAAGAGAAATGAATACTCAGGTTCACACAAAAACGTATACCCGAATGTTAACAGCGGCATTATTTGCAATAGTCAAAAGGTAGAAAAAACCCAAATATCTGTCAGCTGATGATTTGATAAACAAAATGTGCTATATCCATACAATACAATGAAGTATTACTCAGCCCTTCAGGGCTATTTGGGAATGTTAGGGAAGTTTTAGGTGGCATCTAGGGTAAAGGTCATTATTATCTGTCCAGTGCAGTTACCTGACTCACCTTTGGTAAACGTCAGGGATGCTGCTATGCTGTACATCCTGTAACGTATACGACAGCCTCCCACCCCCAACTCCGTTGAAGAATTATCCAGGTCCAAATGTCAATGTGGAGGTTAAGAAACCCTGGCAGAGACACATACATTATAGAACTATATCAGTGATCATCCTGTGCATAAAATTGGCTTTTGAGCCATTTAACATTAAGTTGTAAAACAGCAGCAATTTTAACAAAGACAGACATGCATGTGGACAGTGAGGAAGCAGTCATGTCTCAAGTCTGGTAGGGCAAGCAAAACTATTATTTCCTGGCATTGAGAGTTTGGACTGAAAGTACAAAGCCAGATAATTATCTAACACCTTGTCATTAAGTAAAAAATGCTATGAATTTGTGTATAGTGAGCTACCTCCATTGTAGTCAGGTGCTAAAACAATGGTGAAAGTGATAATGTTACATCAGTTAGGTTTGAATTAGACTTGTAATTACTACATGGTTCTTGCATTAATCCATGGACCATTTGGAAAGCATGTGTGACAAAGACCTGCTTTTGTAGTTTAACCTGAAACTTAAAAGAGGGAACACAGTGAATTTCCTTGTTTCCGATTCTTGACTCTGTGTTACTTTAAGGGAGGGAAGAGAAATGCATGTGATAAGAGAGATAAAAGACAGTGGAAGGACAGGGTAGAAGGGAGGAAATAGATTTTATTACTCATATATATATATATATATATATATTTTAGACTTTATTTATTTATTTTGAGAGAGGAAGGGAAGGAGAGAGGGAGAGAAACATCAATGTGTGGTTGCCTCTCGTGTGTCCCCTGCTGGGATCTGGCCTGCAACCCAGGCATGTGCCCTGACTGGGAATCGAACCGTGATCATGTGGTTCGCAGGCCTGTGCTCAATCCATTGAGCTACACCAGCCAGGGCTCACATATTTGTTTAAAAATTAAAGTCATCCTAAAAGGAAATTATTTAATTTTTTTCCCTTACATGAACTTGATAGCTCAGTGTGGTCTCAATGCCAATAAAGATTTTTCTAGAGGAATAGGAGTTAAGGTCACTAACTCTAAGGTTCCTATATTTCTCTTAATTTGCATATTTTGTTAAAAGCTTGATATTAAACATTTCCAGCAAACAGGAAATAAAAGATAGATTTAAATATACTCACCACTGAGATTCAATATATGTTAAATTTTGTTAAGAGTTATTTCAAGACTTCTGGCCAACATGGAGGCATAGGTGGAAACATTGTGCCTCCTTGCATGACCAAGTTTAAAGACACCAAAGTTTTAGTAACAAAAACACAAGCAAAACACAGAAAATTGAACTGCACGGAAGTCTGACAACAACAAACCATTCAGCCAGACCAGTAAGAGGGGCAGAGTCAGTGGCTGGCTGAGAGGCGTTGGGCAGGAAAAAGCAGCTGGACCATCCCAGGCACACAGGTGGTGGTTGGCAGATCCCAGGTGTGGGATGGCAATGGGCAGACCCAGTGAGGGCGCAAGGCAGCTGGCTAATTGCGGTCAGACATTCGTGCCCCGATAAACCAGGTGAAGGAGTGAGCAGTGAGACAGACTAAGCAGGCTAGGGCCCCAGTTAGTTAGGAATTAAAGCCTAAAAGCACCAATTGGAAAAACTTTCGGGGTTGAGGTGCAAGGAGAAGCTCCCAGGCTCACAGAGAGTTTGTTGGAGAGACCCACAGGGTCCTGGAGGATGGACAGGCCCACACACTCAGGAGCGGGCACCAGGGGGAGCCCAGCTTGCTTGTGGGAAGCTGCAGAGAGGACCAAAATCTGAGAGAGAGCAGAACAAACACCATTGCCTGTCCCTGACCCTGCCCCCACATACAGTGTCACAACCCAGCCACTGGGTGGCCCCTCCCTGGTGAACACCTAAGACTCCACCCCTCATACATAATAGGCACGAACAGACCAAAACATTAATGGCTCAAGAACAGCTCAAAGCCCCAGAACTAATAATTCTAAGTGACCAACAAATAGCCAACCTATCAGAGGCACAGTTCAAAACACTGGTGATCAGGATGCTCACAGAACTGGTTGATTTTAGTCACAAATTAGAGGAATAAATGAAGGCTACACTAAGTGAAATGAAGGGAAATGCACAGGAAACCAATAGTGATGGAAAGGAAACTGGGACTCAAATCAAGGGAGTGGACCAGAAGGAAGAAAAAAATAACCAAACAGAAAAGGATGAAGAAACAACAATTCAAAAAAATGAGGAGAGGCTTAGGAACCTCCAGGACATCTTTAAACGTTCCAACATCCAAATTATAGGGGTACCAGGAGGGGAAGAGGAACAGCAACATGTGGAAACTTATTTGAACAAATAATAACAGAGAACTTCCCCAAGCTGGCAAAGGAAATAGACTTCCAGGAAATCCAGGAAGCTCAGACAGTCCCAAAGAAGTTGGACCCAAGAAGGAACACACCAAGGCACATCATCATTATATTAGCCAAGATTAAAATGAAGGAGAGAATCCTAGAAGCAGCAAGAGATAAGGGGACAGTCACCTACAAAGGAGTTCCCATCAGACTGTCAGCGGATTTCTCAAAAGAGACCTTACAGGCAAGAGGGGGCTGGAAAGAAGTATTCCAAGTCATGAAATCCAAAGACCTACATCCAAGATTGATCTATCCAGTAAAGGTTTCATTTGGAATGGAAGGACAGATAAAGTGCTTCTCAGATAAGGTCAAATTCAAGGAGTTCATCATCACCAAGCCCTTATAATATGAAATGTTAAAGGGACTTATCTAAGAAAAAGAAGATAAAAAACATGTACGGTGAAAGGACAGCAAACTCACAGTTATTAACAACCACACCTAAAACAAAAGCAAACTAAGAGGACAGCTACATCAGGAGTGAGCCACAGAAATGAAGATCACATGGAGGGTTAGCAACAGGGGAGTGGGAGGAGGAGAAGGGGGAGAAGGTACAGAGAATAAGTAGCATAGATGGTAGGTAGAAATAGACGGGGGGAGGGCAAGAATAGTAGGGGAAATATAGAATCTAAAGAACTTGAGACGTGGTCATAAACTAAAGGGGGTGAATGATGGGGGAGGGGGTGTTCGGGGTAGAGGGGAATGAAGGGGGAAATAGAACAACTGTAATGGCATAATTAATAAAATATATTAAAAAAAAAATTGTCTGAATTCCTGAATGTTGAGACTAAACAGACGTGATAAAGGAAAGAATGTATTTCTGGATTCCAAGCTTCCCTAGGCCTGCCTTCCGTCTCATTCAGCTTTGTCCCAGCCTTGTGTGCTGAGCCTACAAGGCATGAGGTAGCATTTCTAAAATTGTTGACTCAGTGGGGTGTACATTTCCTTGTTGGGGCATCAGAATGAGGGACAGTGCGTGCTCTTGTGAGGTTTAAATGATAAACACATATAAAAAGCACTTTAAAATGTAAAATTTTGACAAAGGTATTATTTTCACAGATGCATTGCAGTTGCAAAGAATTTGTATGAGAAAAATTTCAGAGTGTTCTATGTGAAGTTTGAAAGTTGATTATAGTAGCTCCTGCTTATTTATTTTGAGAACCTTCTGCATGTCAAGAACAGGAGAAAGAAAAGAACAGTCCTGGACACCAGGGAACGAGTTTGACACAGCTAAGCTGCAGTGCTTTTAGAAACTAGCCTGACAGAGCTAGGCCACGTTGTTCTCCTCATGGACATAAACTTACAGATGGCCAACATCAGATAAGATCACTCTGACTATGTTGAAATGAGACAGAACAAAACTACTAACTTTTTCTAAGCACAAACAGTAACAAGGTCAATGTATAAAATCACAAAATACCAAATACCTCCCTCTCCATGATACACTGAATGACTGCGGCTGCTTTATCAGTTACAGCTTAATTCCCTTTCTTTAGCCTGCCATCCTTCTAGATAAGCTGTATTAAGATACCCAATCTTTGAACTGTCTTTACACCTGACAGCATGGGAATCCTCCCACTCTGCTTCTGAGGGGTCTTCCAACATCACCTGTTAGAATGTACAGGGACATGGACCTTAGAAGCCACCACCTATGCTGGAACAAAGAAGGTAGGCGCTAATTGCTAAATACCTGACCTGGAGATTCCCCATATTAGAAGCAACTGTGGCATGGCTGCTGGAATCCTGCTGGAGACCGGTTGAATCCTCACTGCCCTTCCCCTCTCCCTCAAGCTTTCTACAGATTCAGCCATCCCTGATCAGATAGATACCCAGGACACCTGAGGCGCATCAGCAGGGTGACTCACCCTCCCCTGGGGGTCTGCTACACATTTTAAAAGCCCTCCTATCCTTTCCCTTTGTGGCTGCCTCTTGTAGGACCCAGCTCCCCTGATCACAGTGTCTCATTTTGAATAAAAGCCCTTAATTGGACTTTTCTGGCGTTAGGTCATTTCTTAGCCACCTCAGCTACCTAACACTAAACGAAGCTCAAATCCTCCCAGTCCTTTCTAGTACCCTTTTACTGAGAAAGCCCAGCGTTCCCCACGTTGTCTTTCCCTGGGAATAATAAACTCCACTTATTCAACAGTAGCAAATGTTGCTACTGGTGTTCTCTGGTGGGAGGGGCTTTCATGGACATTTCTAAAAACTTTACATATGCTATCTGATTTGAACCTAACAATGCCCCTGTGTATTAGGCATTATTATTATTATTATCATGCCGTTTTTTCAGATGGAAAGTCAAAGAGAGTTTAACATCATCTCCAACATCACGTAGCTAGTAAACGACAGGAATAAAACTTGCATCTGGGTCTAACAGTTAAGACATAAGACTCACAATTCTCCTAACCTTGTTGTTCTTTGTACTTTCTCCTAAAAATTAGCTGTCTTTGAGTAGAGACTGGCATAGAAAGGCTGGCCAGTAAAAACAAACAAACAAACAAACAAACAAACAAACAAACACCTAACTGTAGTGTCAAGACTTAGCTGGAACTAAGTCCTATTTCTGAACCTCTGCGCCAATATCCCCAGAGTTACTAGAGTTGTTTCCTGAACCCAAATCACCACTGCACATTTACCAGGATCTTGGCCCACACCACCTCCAGGCAGTCAGGAGGTGGATAACTTAAGGAAAGAATTCAAAGAAAAAAATGCCTTTTAAATATGAAAAAAGCACACTGATAAGTGGAAAAACTGCTTTAGTCTTGTAACTTGACCTTAGGTATACACAACAAATTCTTTTGCATGGTTTCAGCTCAAAGCCCTTCATTATATGCCCTTCAAGTGTTTTTCAACCCTATGCTCTTGACCTCTCTTGGCCTTGCTTCTGGCTGGAATGCCTTTTATCTGATTGTCCCACCATTCTTTTTTTTGCATAAAGTCTATGTATTCTTTCTTTCACCTTTCCAGAACTGCTCCTTAATATATCTTCCGTCTTTGTTCTCAATGAACTTTTAAAACAACTGCTATAACATTTACATCATTTTGTTATAAGGGTTTCGGTACCCTCCATAAGGGTGTGACGTAGCGCTTTCTGATTTTTTGAGGGACCTCTCTGCCACCCGAGTGGCTCTCTGCACGTAGGCACTAAGCAGTCAGTCGCTCAGTAAGTATGACGAGAAAGTTTTTTTTCTTTCGAGCGTTGGGGGCGCTGTCGTTTTCTACCGCCTAGCACCCCTTCAAGCACGGATCCCAGAACTACTTTTCCTGGTGGTGCACACACTCAGGGGCTCCGCAGACCCGCAAAGGGGTTAGCAGATGGTTTCTCATTCAGGAGGTGCGCAAAAGGTGGCGCCAAGCGGGTCTTACCTGTGCTTTCCAAACTCGACTCTGGCTTGTGCTCTTAATGTGAGCGCCTTGAAGCCCGCCGAATGGCTGAGTGGTTAAACGGGCGGACGGCAGAGCCAATCATATTTCTGTATATCCGGAAGGGGCGGATCGAGGGCGTGTTAGTAACGTAGCGGCGCACGATTGGCGGGTTCCCGGGAGGTCCGTGGTGGCGGGAGTTTTCGGAAGTGTTGGCGGCGTCTCCCGGGTGCAGCGGTTGGACTGAGTCTGGCTGCGGGCGTCTGCGGCAGAACGTGAAGCAGAGTCTAGCCAGGATCATTAAGCTCTCTGCTTGTGGCTTGTTGAGAGGCAGCCTTTTCTCTGTCGCTCGGAGCTTCGGGGAAGATGGATCGGCAGCGTCCACGGCTGCACCATCTGACGCAGGGCTCCGCCGCGGGGGCTGCTTACTCGTCCTCTGCCTCTGTCCGCAGCTGTCGGGAGGGCAAGATGCCGCGCAGGAAGGGTTCCCAGCACCCTCCGGCGCCCGGCGGTCGGGAGGTGCCTGGAGAGAAACGCCCCAAATTTGTAAGTTTTGCGTGAGGCTCGGATCCGGGAGCCCTGGCCGGATCGACCTGAGCTGTGCCCTGAGCTGTGTCCCAGGGTCCTTCTATTTCGTTGAAGTGGGTGGGCCCACCTGGGCTAAATTTTGTTTTAGGTTTTCAGAGCTACCAGTCGTTTTACGACGACACTGTCCAATTCTATTTGGATCCTCCGGCATACAATGATCACTGGAGTTGTCCCAGATATCTTAGGGCTGTTCAAATGCATTTGTATTGACGTCACCCACGTGGATATTGCATTTTTTTAAGTCGAACTTCTCCCCTTACTCCTAGCGTCTAAGGGTATGAGACATATCAAAGTGAACTTTTAGGCGTTTTTTTTTCCTACTTAATATTTTAATCCTAGAAAAACTTTTCAGGGGAGATGTAATTTTCCGAGTCGAAAGAGCTTGTTTTAAAACTTGGGTGGGGCCATGCAGTCATTGCTAAAGAATGTTATGATTGGAAAGAAGTCCCAAGTTTTTGAAACTCGCTATTCACTCTTAACACTCAAGGGGGAGTGTCCAGATAGGTGCCTTGTAAATCTTTGTTGGTATCAACTAGTGGAAAAGTAGGTAGTGATGATAGTTTGGTGTGTGTCTGTAAATAAACGACAGAGACCAGCAGAACTGAAAATTTAATATCCCTCCATTTTACTTAGGAGTATGGAAAAACATTTCTTTTTAGGCATAGGTAGGTTTTTACAGTACAGATGTGCCTTCTGTGAACAAATAAATCATTAAGAATTTAAGTTAGGATACACATTAAAGGACTAAAAGACTTGTGGAAGAGGAGTGAATTGCTAAGTATAACATCTAAAAGTGAAAATTGAGTAGAACTGGGAGCAGAGCTCTAAGATGTATCAGAATACTATGTGAAATGAGAGACAACATGGATTAGTTATGTTAAATTAAGCATCAAGATACCTGTAGGAATGGCAAAATTTTGCAGGAGGATCAAATATATTGTTGATTATTATACTGACAGATTGGAGGAATAAATAGGATGGGGTTAAATTAGCAATGACTCTATCCAGTAGGAGAAGAATCCATTGGGGCAATGACTTTTCTTCCCTATATAGTTTTCTCTCTGGGTTAAACACATTCCATTTTGTCTCACTCCTGTGTCTCACTCCTTATACTTTATACATAAAGTATAAGTTTCTGTGACTCATCTGGCACAAGGATGTAATCAAAACAAAACCTAAATTAATATCAGGTGATTTGGGTTCTAGCGTGTGTTTTTTATTTATTAGGTATGTGAAAGGGTTATTTTAAAGATGAACACAATAAAATAATACTTTTAGGTTATAAAACTAATGAGCACATCCAAAATACTATGTTCTTTTTAAAATAGGAGTCTTATTTGAGCCATCATAATTATGTAGAAGTAGACCCTTCATAATTTCCAAAACTAATTTAGATTCTTGCTGACATTGTAACTTCTTTAGATAGATTTTCCATTTCACTCATTTTGTCATCAGCTATGTTTAATCTTCTGTCTAACTTGTTCTGACTATTTGAGTTTAGCAATTATTTTTTATTTCTGTAAGTTCCATTTGTTTCTTCAGTTCTGCCTGGTCATTCCTGATAGTACTGTTTCTTATTCTTTCATTTCTTTAGGAATTTCTTACTGGGCTCTTATTCTTTATTCGACAGTCCTGGTACTCACAATCTTTGGACTGTCTATGTTGACTTGAACTCAGTGGTGGCTTCCTCTCTCCCCTTTTGCTTGTTGATCTTTGCAAGTTCATTGCTTCCTCTCTACCTGTTTTCCAGGAGGCCTAATTGAGAATGCTTCTCTGTGGAGATTAGACTCTCTTTCCAACAGCACCCTGGGGGTCCCACTGATTTGGGACTATCTCTCTATTGAACTAGAACTCTGAGGGGGCCTGGGGTTTTAATCTTAGCTCTAACTCTGTTCCTGGCCCAAGACTCAGTTTCCCAATCTCAAGGCTGCCTTCTGAACAGTTTGCCAACTTCTCACTACTCTCAGTCCCAACCTAATAACTCTTGTTTTGGGGATGAAGGGTGATCTTTAGGGACCATCACTTCCTCATGAGATCTCAGCAATATCTCAAAAAGTGATTGTTCTTTAGTTCAGTTTGCTGTACTGCAAGGCGTCAAGCCAGTTCTTGGCTTTCATTTGGTATGAAGTGATGTTAGCTTGAATCTCTTCAGGTCAGATCACCTGGTTGCCTGGGGCAACTTTTTTCAGTAGGACAAGTAATGTAGGTTGGTGATGTGAATGGAGCAGGGCTAATTTAGGTGTTTGGTATTTTGCATACTCTTCAAAGCTGCAAGCAGGTAATAGAGCTGAGTGGTAAACTGGCCACTTGGTCCTGTCTTAGTTTAAGAAGGAGTTTTGGTGCCCACTGAAACCCTGGTTTACTCTGAGCCATGATAAAGCAGATAAATCTTTGTTTTCTACTGAATGTATAATTGTGGGCCTCAAGTTACTTTTGAATTGTATATAAAAGTTTATAGAACCTCCCCCATAAATATGCATAAATAGTAGAAATTAGTCTATTGTAAATGTGTGATGTGTTGGCTGTAAAATCAGTCATCTGCTTTTGGGCTTGTTTGTGAACTAACCAACTTGGCTTCTATAGAAAATGTGGTAAATGGTGAGTATTGAGATGCTGGGATAGTTGCTAGGAGATGGGATACAAACAAGGAGACTGGGAGGAGGAGGCAGGTACCTGGGTGAAGATTTTATAAAAGTAGTAGAATTCAGTAGGATCATTAAGCTTGGTACCTGCCCTAGGTCATACTCTCAGTACTGAGACCCGAGTCCTGTTTCACTTGTAGAACAAAACAAAGGAGTTGTTTTTCAGGGATACTTGGGCACTGCATTCCTACCTCCTCCTCCTGTAGAAACACATGGTAAACAGCGGTGGCCACCAGATCCAGAGAGTGGGAGCAAGATATGTGGCTACTGGAGACGTCTCCATCTCTGGAATGTGGCCGGTCTTTTGAAAGGAGGCCTGTAAATTTGGCGATCCAACTTGGCAAAGTAGCTGTTTATTTAGGAACATCCTTTAAAAATTCTTAGACTTTAGTGTAAATATAACATCTAATTCTATGGTTTGCACTGAATGGATTATTACACTACCTTCAGTTATGTCTTTATAGTACCCTCAAATTTGGTTGTGGGAGATTTTTCACCCTGTCTATTAATAGCTTGATGTCTACAGTGTTTGGGCATTATTAGTGCTCCATAACTATCAGCTCCTTTAGTACTTGCAATAACTCTATGAAGTAGATAGTATTATTAGCCTTACTTGCTAGATGGGAAAACCAGGGTACAGAAGTTAAATTGCCTTAGGTTACACAGCTTCCACCTGGGGAGATGGGAGTCGTACCTGGGCTGGCTGATTTTACTCTCCTGTGCTGTTGGGAGGGAGTTTTAATTTTTACTGCTTCTTTTTGTAGCCAAATGCAGGTCTGGCTGCCTGCCACTTTGAAGGCCAATACTGAAGAGAGGGTGCTGGTGTAAAGGAAGGAGGTTTAAGTACTGATCACCTGAGAAGATGGTGGCGGGGGGGGGGGGGGCATTCATGTCTCCAAGCCCATATTCACATCTCAGTGCAGGCAGAGATTTTTGTGAGGAGGAAGAGGGAAAGCAGAACAAGGAGATCAAAGGGAGGGGGCTGAAAAGTTCTCTACAGGAAGACCAGCAGATTCCATTCCAATAAGGATCTCGAAACTGGTCAAGTGCTGGTCTGGTGTTCCTCATTCTGGTTTTAAAGTTGAAGGTCAGCAAGTCTCCTGGAGCTGGGATAACTGAAGGTTGGAGCCTGTCTTTTGAAGTTAGCACCTAAGATTCTTATATAAACATACTGTTTATCAACAAACTACACATCAGTCAGAGCATTTACAGAAACAGGTCAAAAGAAATGTTCCACTGTTACAGTTCTCCACTGCTACATTTCCTTTCTCATTTAGGAACTTCTAACAGTAGTTAATAATGGCTTTAATGAATATAGAATTAGCAACTTCTCGATCATAGGCTGGTCGTGAGCAGGAGAGGTATTAAGTTGGAGAACTTGAGTATAGTTCAGGGGTATCAAATTCCTATTTCACCGAAATAATTTTAGGACTGTATAAATGTAACTACTTAACTGTTAAGGAGTTGAAATTACATTTGGCCTTTTGAAGGCAACCGTGAGGCTGATGTGGCCCTTGGTGAAAATGAGTGAGTTTGACACCCCTGGTATAGTTGAAATCAGAGTAGGCTTGATGAGATTAGCGCAGGGTTACCTAATTGCTTTGGGCTTATTTGGAGGCAGCTGTGGCAGGCTGAATAATGACCTCTAACCCCAAATATATTCACATCTTAATCCCCAGAAATTGTCAATGTTCCAAAAAAGGGCTTTGCAGGAATGATTAAGTTAGGGCTTCTAAAATGAGATTATGTTGTATTATCAGGATGGGCCCCCAAAATGCAAACGTGCATATTCTTGTAAGAGGGAGCCAGAGAGATTTGACCACA